GATGAAAGAATGTTAACATTTCAACGATTTTTTTTTTAATTTCAGTAAGAAACAAAATTCTGGTGGAGGTAAATCGGGACTCTATGGAGTGTGTGCAATAACTGTGAATTTTAGGTTTCCCATTGTTTGAGCTGTTTGTGGATTCAAACATTGCTGTGAGGCAAGCATAAAAATACCCCTTTAATCTATGGATGCGCTGTTTGGCTGCTCCAAATGGTTCACAATATCTTAACAGTTATTTATTCCTTTTGCTATTAATTCAAATTTTCAGAACAAAAAACGTTTCGGGTGACGAACATTGTCTCAAGTGACGAACACGCAGGCCGGCGACAACGTCGAGTAACAACCGGGAGTATCGACGGGAGTGCGTCAGTTACGGTAGAGCTTTCGCTCCAGACAAAGGTATTTCGAAGCGGACTGTAGCATAAAATTAACAATCAAAAACTCCCAGGAATATCGTTTTAATATCCTCCATTACTTAACTCTCATTGAGAAACCCTAGCGGCAAATGACTTACAGGATCATGAATTCGGCCTAAAGGAAATTGTGGCCGAATTGTGTTGTATTATTTCTCAAAGTTTTATTTGTTATTGTATTTAATTGTAATAACTGATAACAGAAATTATCTAATTTTACAGCTGATGCGAAAACCGTCGTCGTAGCAGTGGGCACGGAAATCACACACTGTACAGCAGGAGGTAAACAATATCCATTCGGTCGGCCATTTTCTTTCACTGAAAACTGCTTCCGGTATAATTGTATGTGTTATTCTGGTGGCTCATGGGAATGTCCAGGCGATCGTTCGGAATATATCTGTCAGCGTCGAAGAGGACAAGGAATCTTGAGAGGTGATTTTTATTTTTGGCAAAGATTAATATTTGCATAAGAAAATATTCAGTAAAATAAAAATTATATATATATATATATATATATATATATATATATATATATAATCATGTATGTATTCATGTATGTATGTATATATGTATGTATTTATGTATGTATATTATATATATATATATGTATATATGTAATATCTCTCTTTTCTAGCCTAATTTATTTTCATTCTCGTTATTACTTTTATATCTAAATAGACAATATGCAATACGCATAAATTATATAATATATATATAGAGAGAGAGAGAGGTGTAGAGTTAGATAAATCAAAAGACCAGATGTAAGCAACCGTATACGCGCGTGTTGGTGTGCATACACAAGCAAGCAAATAATCATTAAATTTATTCATGAGGTGTAAACAGTGCTCGATATGGTTAGACAGAGCAAAGATATATATTAATAAATACACATATACCTTGGGTTTGGTGTGCGACTTAAGTTTCGTTGGTTTTCCAGCTCATCGGGCGCAAAGTATATCTTATGTTTTTTTATAAAAATACACTGATGTCACATGGGAGGAATGCTGTTTCATAGTCCAAAAATAAAATAGTACAAAAGATGCATTAAAAAAAGTACATGTAGGGTTCATTTAAAAAAAAAAAATGAGGAAAAATCTTAAAAAAAAAAAACAATAAAGAAATAAAGGAAAACTAGAAATTTCAAATTTCAAATTATTACTGGAGACTCTGATCTACTTCTGATATAGTTTACGCTCGCCAGTTTAAAGGGAGATAAGTAGGTATAAACCCTAAAGCTTAATAAAAGAAAAATATATAATAAAAAAAAGGAATTTAATCTGGCTTCCAGTATTTTAAGACAAACGATTTTCTATGATTACAGGCTATCAAGAGTTCGTTCTGGTTATTAAGTAGATCTACATTGCTTATATTTTTGAGGATGATTTCTTTTTCTACCATAGGTTGCATCGCCCCCACCTAACCGGCCGGAAAATGACTTAGTTAGGGCTACAAATTCCCAACTTACGAGAGGTGCGTAGGCATCTGTTTTGATACTCCAGTAAAACTTAGAGAGTGCTGTGGCATTTGCATATTTTTTGTTGCTAAGGGTCATTTTGTGATGGTAGAAACGCTTTTTCCAACTTTTAGCGACAGATCCGAAATAAAATTTCATCTGGTCAATTGTGCTTAACGCTAGCCTTATTGATAACTCCTTAATACACGCAATTACCGTTCATAGGACAGAGGGTACATTTGCAACAATTACATTTTTGATCACCAGGGCTACCATTTCTATTAGTGCTGCTTAAGTATTTGTTAAGGGTTACACTATAATGTTGGATTAAATATTGATCAAGGTTTTTAGTGCAGCTGTCGATACTTTAATGTTGTTCTTGATGAAGATTTTTCTAAGTAAGGGATTATGACTGAAATATTTGTATACTAACCCAAGAAAGATTCTACCGATGTTGATCTTGACGCTAATGTTGAAGCGTGTATTGAACCAAATAATATTACGCTTTCTAATTCTTAGAGTTACTATTGATATTCGCACTAGTGTTAGGGATGTACTTTAGTTCAATATTATGCTTATATATATATATATATATATATATATATATATTTCTTTATTACTAATCATTCTCATTGACATTTTATATCTAAAATTGTAAAACGCATAATATATATATATATGTGTGTGTGTGTTTGCGTGTATGTGAGTGACTCTGTGTGTCTGCACGCCCGCGCGTGTGTCTGTGTATATAAAAGTAGACAATAAAGTCAACACCCAGAGGCGAAATTCTGTTTCATGCTAAACGTAATCGTCAGACCATTTGATTGCGTTTAGCATGAAACAGCCTCTGGATGTTAACTTTAATGTGCACTTTTATATTTACATACGCTCTATTTCTGATATTGATCACTTTAAACCATAAATATAACATACGCATATTTTTAATATATATATATATATATATATATATATATATATATATATATATATATATATATATATATATCTTTCATTTTTTTTCTTTTCTAGCCTAATTTATTTTTAATCATTCTCGTATTAATTTTATATCTAATTTTGTAAAACGCATTATATATATATATATATATATATATATATATTATATATATATATATATATATATATATATATATATATATATATATATATATATATATATATATATATATATATATATATATATATATATATATATATATTGCGATATATATATATATATATATATATATATATATATATATATATATATATATATATATATATATATATATATATATATATATATATATATATATATATATATTATATATATATATATATATATATATATATATATATATTGCGATAGGTAAATTGTCTTCTAAATTACGCAAAAATGAAAATAATACTGACATCTCATTTTTACAGATATATTTTACAAATTTCCCCCCAAATACCTTGAAATACTAAAGTGTTAATTTATTAATTAAAATCGCCATTGACTTCAATCCCGGCCTCCAGACGGCTTTAGCTTATCTTTGGTGTTACAGGAATTTTCTTGGTGTCTCGATTAACTGCGTCTCACACATAATAATTAAGGAAGTTGCAGTTTGGAAGGTTAGGTGGCCAAATGTAAGGGTGATTTGATCACGAAAATTGTCAACCGTCAAGACTGTGTTCTTCTGCTTGTGTGGTATGGTGCAGAGGCCCGTTGCCAGAGATAGGGTGTTCCAGCAGCTACCCTCTTGAACTAAGGCAACACTAACTCCTCAAGGTACTTCATGTAGGCCTCTGTATTGAGTCTGATGCCCTGTGTGAAGATAAATGGAGTTTTAATGCCGCCATCACTAGTGATCGCTCCATACACCTTCCTAATAATCATTAGATTCATCCAACTCTTTCCGAATTCTCTGTACTGTCCTCAGAGATGATCGTATTTGAAGCTTCCGGAGCGAATGCCAAGCAATGCAGCATGCCTTTTCCAAATTTCTGCCTCAGTGAATTGCTTCATGGTATTCATTTTCTCACAAACAGTATCAGGCTGATCTTACTATACTCTACAGTCGACAAAATCAAAAGTGCTCATTACGCTAAGTAGAGCAAACCTAATTAAACCTAAAGAGCCAGATAGCCTTGGTAGGTTTATCTGGCTCTTTTAGGGTTTCATTTTACAGATATATATATATATATATATATATATATATATATATATATATATATTTCCTGGTTTCCTATTGTAATTTTCTGATGAATCTTTTTTTCCAGCCGTTAAACAATTCTATTTTCCCTTTTATTTCTTTCATTTTCTCACCAAGTAGTGTCTCATATATTTATTTTACGTCTTTCCATACGATCAAAACGATATAGTCCATTACTTATTAGTTATTGGCAGGACGTAACAGTCGTGCTAAGTGAGGGACAGGCAACATCATAATGAATTGATAGAGACCACTTAAAATTTCGAAGAATTTGACAATGAAAAAATAATTACCTACTTTAAAACATAGCTTCCAACGTCTCCTTCGAAGTAATAAGATATATATTCTTCTTCTATGTTCCCTGTCAGCCGCCTGTCCTTTATAGCTCTCAATAAATATCGTCTTTTTGTTCTCTTTCCTAAACCCTATTCTCCCATCCATTTACTCAAGCTCACTGGGCAGGGGTGAAGCATTGTTTTCCTTTTGTCCCTCTTGCCTCGAATCTGTCCTGTGAGTATCAAATTTTCCAAGCTCTCTTTCCTCGTGATGTACCCTAGAAATTTCAAACATCTCTTCCTGATGTTATGTATAAGTGTTCTTTTCGTTTCCAGTTTCTCTAAAACTTTGTCACTGCTCACATGTCCAGTCCATGTTATTCTCACCATCCTTCTGTAAATAGATTGAGTGAATGATTCATTTTCTCCGGCCTATCAGCTCTTTGCAGTTTATCTAAAACTGGACAATATTTTTAGATTGGAAGAATTTTTTAGAAATAATAAGGATTTACTGATACAAGACCTACTAATTAACCCATAGCTGCGGGGGAAGAGCTGGCCTTGGGCATATAACGAACCCGACTGGAATTGGAACTCGGCTTTCCGATTAACTTATCCGAGGTATTTTCCATTACACCACCTGCACATCCAAGCTTATAAAACCTGGTATTCTGAAGCGGTCACCCATAGATGTACTGACTAGGTGCGATGTTGCTTAACTTTGGTGATCTTACGGGAACCGATGTTACAACGCGATGTGTCCGCAAGACTTCTGTAGAACCACATATTCTTAAAAATGCTCCGTCCCATCAGAACGACATTGTCTTCATTATCTGTGAAAAGCTACGCATTCTTGGGTAAGATAGTATATTGATTTGCCGTTGTCTTTGACCTATAACTAGTCCGGGGAAAGATAGATTCATGCCTTTTCGAGAGTATTTATGCGAAAGTCAATGCAACAGACAAGCCCAGAATTTGAACTCGGCTCGATATCCATAATATTAAAATCACATTCTATGTATTTACACTATTTAAATTGTTCAGGCTATTGTCTTCATCTTTGTTGCCATATTCACGACGTTTCGACCGTTGTACGCCCCGGCCTTCTTCAGGTGAATCGAATTTCGAACCAGACCGTTTATTTCGTCCACCTGGGTAGATTGTTCCAGCTCCACGTGCCATGCCTCTTCCGTATATCTCAGTATCACTTATCTCCCTTTTAACTGAACTCTCCAAGTTTTTGTTCACCACCGCTAGGTACTGAACTCACAACTCTTTGGGTCAAGTCATTGGATTCAACCAACGCTTTTATTCGATCACCTGAAGACGGCCGGAGCATACAACGGCTGAAACGTCGTGAATATGGATGAGGACAACAGTCCGAACAATGTAAATAGTGTAAATATTTATAATATCTCATCTCAGAAATATCAACGCCCATTTTATATGTATACAGTATTGTCCTTAACGGCTACTCTGCCCAAGAAGTTTCGCGGTAAATATATATAATACACTTAGTTTTAACGTGCTGTTTAAATTTTCCAAACATTTGGGTGCAGCATCCTTTTATAATTGCTATTTTCCCGCCTTACGTTAGTTAGCACGGCCGTTATATCCCGCCAATACCTCATAAATAATGGACTATTCAGTGGAAATAGGGGAAAAGACATTACTTGGTTTCAGTGAGAAAATGAATGATAGAAAGAAAGAAAGAAAGAAGGGAAGATAGAAGTGGAGAATGAGAATCAGATTAGACTGATAAGAACAGATACTACACTTTGTTCTTAGCCAAAAGGCCACTTATTTACTTTACCCTCCACTGAGTCAGGTTGATACAAGGTCGGTTTTTAACGTGGGGACCCTAGTGTTTTCACTCGGGCCGCTGGTCCAAGCTGGTCTTAGCTGGTCTAAGCTAGTCATAGCTGGTCTTGGTTTGTCATAGCTGGTCCAGACCAGAGCCGGTCCAAGCTAGTCGTAGCCGTGATCGAATCTCAGCCAAAAGGCCGAGAAGCTATGACAACCGCTATAAAAAACGTAATTTTTTAGACGCACAGCCTCGAACGACAATAAACCGATGAAGGCAATCGCCCAAAATCCAATTATCATAAATAAAATAACATTGTCTGTTGATTTAAAAAAAATATATTATTAACATAAATGTTTGTAAGAGGGAGATTTGGCTAGTGTTTATTGTTTTCTTAAAATTCATAGACGATCCTCCAAGGAAATCGGACCGGGAATTAACTTTAAATAGTTGCAACTCGTTTTATAGATAAAAACAAAAATTCATTTGTAGCTAGTTTTTATGGGAGCAAAATTAAATTTTACTGATGTCCTAAATATTGAAGGCAAGAGGGTCACAGGGAAATAGCGAATAATCTACCTTACGATCTTGTGTAAATGGATGGTTAACCTGGGAATGAGAGAGAGATAACAAAAAGGCAAAATCTTTTGAAATCTGCAAAAGAATAAGGACTTGGGAACTGATCAGCCTAAAGAAGCACGAAACATAGAAAAAAGGGCTTCAAGAGGAATTAATAGTTCTTATCCTGGATAATATAATCCGCAAACACAACTCAAAGTCTAAGACAATGTCCACTTTGTTCTATTGCCTTTACCAGCTACGGGTTGAATAGCAGAGTACACTGACTTTTCTAGCTTTAGATGGCAACTAGCCAATGAGAAATGCAAATCGAAATCACAACACTATTTCTCTCAATAGTCAATCACATCAACAATACTCATTTTGCAGATAATAAAATAAAAAGGGAAGTTGTGGAAGATCACGATCAACTGAGCTTTGAAGGAAAATGATACATTAAGAAAAAAGAAATATTTAATTTATTTTTATTATTTTAATGAAGAGTAACATTGTTTTTTTTAGGTCCCAATAAGAAAATGACCATCATTGTCAGCGATAATACGAGATCTTGTGTTGTCAGAGGAAACGAATATCAGTTAGAACGCCCATTCTCGTTCATGGAAGGATGCATCAAATATAAATGTGAATGTCACTTAAATGGATCCTGGGAATGTCCCGCTGATAGAGCGGAAGACGCATGCAAACTCGACCGGGATAGACAACCAACACCGGATCGTACCAGAACAGAAACTCCAAGCTCGTGCAGTGTGTATGGAAAGGAATACAACTTGGGACGTCAGTTCTCTTTCGTAGATGGATGTATCAGGTATAATTGCCTATGTCATTACAATGGATCCTGGGAATGTCCAGCTGATAGGACAGAGGACACATGCGAACGTGAACGGGAGAGACAAACAACTCCATATCCTGATCGTACCAGAACAGAAAATGTAAGATCGTGCAGGGTTAGAGGCAATGAATATGCAGCGGGAAATCGATTCTCATTCGTGGATGGATGTATCAGGTATAATTGTCTATGTCATTTCAATGGATCCTGGGATTGTCCGGCTGATAGATCGGAGAACATATGCGAACGTGACAGAGAAACAACCCCAATTCCTGACCGTGCCAGATCGTGCAGGGTTAGAGGCAATGAATATGCAGCGGGAAATAGATTCTCATTCGTGGATGGATGTATCAGGTATAATTGTCTATGTCATTTCAATGGATCCTGGGATTGTCCGGCTGATAGATCGAGAACATATGCGAACGTGACAGAGAAACAACCCCAATTCCTGACCGTGCCAGATCGTGCAGGGTTAGAGGAAATGAATATGCAGCGGGAAATCGATTCTCATTTGTGGATGGATGTATCAGGTATAATTGTCTATGTTATTTCAATGGATCCTGGGATTGTCCGGCTGATAGATCGGAGAACATATGCGAACGTGACAGAGAAACAACCCCAATTCCTGACCGTGCCAGATCGTGCAGGGTTAGAGGCAATGAATATGCAGCGGGAAATCGATTCTCATTCGTGGATGGATGTATCAGGTATAATTGTCTATGTCATTTCAATGGATCCTGGGATTGTCCGGCTGATAGATCGGAGAACATATGCGAACGTGACAGAGAAACAACCCCAATTCCTGACCGTGCCAGATCGTGCAGGGTTAGAGGAAATGAATATGCAGCGGGAAATCGATTCTCATTCGTTGATGGATGTATCAGGTATAATTGTCTATGTCATTTCAATGGATCCTGGGATTGTCCGGCTGATAGATCGGAGAACATATGCGAACGTGACAGAGAAACAACCCCAATTCCTGACCGTGTCCAGATCGTGCAGGGTTAGAGGAAATGAATATGCAGCGGAAATCGATTCTCATTCGTTGATGGATGTATCAGGTATAATTGTCTATGTCATTTCAATGGATCCTGGATTGTCCGGCTGATAGATCGGAGAACATATGCGAACGTGACAGAGAAACAACCCCAATTCCTGACCGTGCCAGATCGTGCAGGTTTTAGAGGAAATGAATATGCAGCGGGAAATCGATTCTCATTCGTTGATGGATGTATCAGGTATAATTGTCTATGTCATTTCAATGGATCCTGGGATTGTCCTTCTGATAAATCGGAGAACATATGCGAACGTGACAGAGAAACAACCCCAATTCCTGACCGTGCCAGATCGTGCAGGGTTAGAGGAAATGAATATGCAGCGGGAAATCGATTCTCATTTGTGGATGGATGTATCAGGTATAATTGTCTATGTTATTTCAATGGATCCTGGATTGTCCGGCTGATAGATCGGAGAACATATGCGAACGTGACAGAGAAACAACCCCAATTCCAATGAATATGCAGCGGGAAATAGATTCCATTCGATGGATGTATCAGGTATAATTGTCAGTCATTTCAATGGATCCTGGATTGTCCGGCTGATAGATCGGAGAACATATGCGAACGTGACAGAGAAACAACCCCAATTCCTGACCCGTGCCAGATCGTCAGGGTTAGAGGCAATGAATATGCAGCGGGAAATAGATTCTCATTCGTGGATGGATGTATCAGGTATAATTGTCTATGTCATTTCAATGGATCCTGGGATTGTCCGGCTGATAGATCGGAGAACATATGCGAACGTGACAGAGAAACAACCCCAATTCCTGACCGTGCCAGATCGTGCAGGGTTAGAGGAAATGAATATGCAGCGGGAAATCGATTCTCATTTGTGGATGGATGTATCAGGTATAATTGTCTATGTTATTTCAATGGATCCTGGGATTGTCCGGCTGATAGATCGGAGAACATATGCGAACGTGACAGAGAAACAACCCCAATTCCTGACCGTGCCAGATCGTGCAGGGTTAGAGGCAATGAATATGCAGCGGGAAATAGATTCTCATTCGTGGATGGATGTATCAGGTATAATTGTCTATGTCATTTCAATGGATCCTGGGATTGTCCGGCTGATAGATCGGAGAACATATGCGAACGTGACAGAGAAAACAACCCCAATTCCTGACCGTGTCAGATCGTGCAGGGTTAGAGGAAATGAATATGCAGCGGGAAATCGATTCTCATTTGTGGATGGATGTATCAGGTATAATTGTCTATGTTATTTCAATGGATCCTGGGATTGTCCGGCTGATAGATCGGAGAACATATGCGAACGTGACAGAGAAAACAACCCCAATTCCTGACCGTGCCAGATCGTGCAGGGTTAGAGGCAATGAATATGCAGCGGGAAATCGATTCTCATTCGTGGATGGATGTATCAGGTATAATTGTCTATGTCATTTCAATGGATCCTGGGATTGTCCGGCTGATAGATCGGAGAACATATGCGAACGTGACAGAGAAACAACCCCAATTCCTGACCGTGTCAGATCGTGCAGGGTTAGAGGAAATGAATATGCAGCGGGAAATCGATTCTCATTCGTGGATGGATGTAGCAGGTATAATTGTCTATGTTATTTCAATGGATCCTGGCATTGTCCAGCTGATAGATCGGAGAACATATGCGAACGTGACCGGGTGAGACGACCAACAACCGAATGGCTCAGTGAAATCAGTGAGTACTTTCATAAGAAAACACTTTCTGTTACTCTTCTTCTTTATTTTGACATTTACCTCGTCCCTACTCTCTCTTTCTTTCTCTCTCTTCAATAATATTTGCCTATTTTTAATATTTTTGATACGTCAATATTTTCTCTGATGTTGTCTAAAATTGATATTTGTAGTTCATACACGGACCATAGTTGTTCCTGTCGGCACAAATATTAGATATTGTACAGTCGAGGATAACCAATATTCCGTGGAACATCCATTCTCTTTCACTGAAGGCTGCTTCCGTTTTAACTGTGAGTGTTATTCTGACGGATCATGGGAATGTCCATCTGAACGCTCGGAACACATCTGCCGACCTCGAGCAGGAGAAAGAGATATCAAGGGTTTGTTTTTAATCACTTTTAAAAATTAATGCAGTTATTTTTCAAAATCCCCTTGCATAATTCATTGTGCTATGCTACTTATCCATCTTTGGAATGTCTCATTAAGACTTGGAAATCTTAATTCGGGTTTCTGGGTTAATTTCTCGGTTCAAAAATTGACATATGACACCAGAGAGTAATATGGAGTTTATCAAAGCTCAGTTGACAGAACACTCTGCTTTCGGGCGGAACTCAGACGAGGCTTGTCCTACGGGCACAATCTCGTATGGGACGTAGACAGCGACCCGACCCCGAGTATGCGGGGTCTACGGGGAATTTTTGCCCGACCATACGCGCTCGGAAAACCCCAAATTAAAAACTAGCTTTATGCCACATCTGCCTTGTGAGGATATCTCAGGCAAATATCGAGTAACATAGAATAAAAGTTATTTGAATCATGAAACAAAGCCTCTTTGTTAAGGAAGAATAAATGACGATATCTGTAAATAAGATTTATTAATAATAATATTGGCAGCTCTTTTATCGTAAATAATATCATAAATCCAAACTGATCCAGAAGAAAATAAGACTTTCTTATTCTCTTTGAACGGTTGGCTGTTTAGACGTCTTTCTTTAGCGGGATATCAACATCTCTATGGATCACTTAATGCCTAAATATTTTGTACGCAATTTTATTTTATCATGGTTTAGTGATACAAGTTTTAATAATTAACCCATAGCTGGGGGAAGAAGAGATGGATTCATATCTTTCCCAAGGATATTTGCGCGTCAGTGAATATAAAAAACCTAACCGATTAAGAATTCTGAACCATTGTCCATTTCATGACCCGCACATCCAAGCTTAGAACACTCCGAATTCCAAAGCGGTCACCCATCTAGAGTACTGACTAGGGCCGACGTTGCTTAACTTCGGTAATCGAACGAGAACCGGTGTTTCAAAGTGATGTGACCGTAAGCATCTTCGGATGGTGATTTACACGGACTTTGAGAGATTTCGAAATCTTGGTGGGAGAGATAATTAAAGGCTGAGTCAGGAAATGAAGTTGATTCTACAGTCAAAAAATGTAGCTATTTTTCTAGACAATTCTACGAGAAAGAGTTGCAGGAATGGTTTACCATACTTCGTCAGCTGCTTATGATTTTGATGATGTTCACCAATCTCGCTGGTTAGTCACATTTTCACACGTCTTCATTATTCGGGTCACGTCATCAACAGTCCGCATAAATCATGGGATATTTTTACATGCTTTGCTTTCATTTAAACATGTGTAAAACTGACGTGTTACGTTGAGGTATAATATCATTATATTTTCCAGTCAATGGAATGCATTATAATCCTTTGATAAGTTTAAATCTTATTAACCGTGTCATGTCTATTATTTATGCATATTTTATTATTTGTATTGTTAAATGGCTAACATTTTGCCTTCAGGTCCAAGTAAAAAAATGACCATCATTATCAGCGATAACGTCAGGGCTTGTGTTGCAAATGGAAATGAATATCCCTTGGGACATCAATTCTCGTTTGTGTACAGATGCATCAAGTACAACTGTGAGTGTCACTCCGATGGATCATGGGAATGTCCACCAGATAGAGCCGAATACAAATGCGAATATGGGACCAGGAGAAACTTCACTCGAGTAGAAACTGTAAAATGTGAGTTTTTCATGCTTTCAGCATAATCTATATTTGAAAATGGTTGAAATAAATAATTATGATATTTTCCAACTATGATCCTACATTATATTCAATATATGATAATATGAAATACGAAATTTTACAGCTCAAACGAAGACCATCGTAGTTGCAGTCGGCACAAGAATAACACACTGTACAGCAGGAGGCAAACAATATCCATTCAGCCGGACATTTTCTTTCACTGAAAACTGCTTCCGGTTTAATTGCGACTGTCATTCTGATGGATCATGGGAATGTCCATCAGAACGCACACAATACATCTGTCAGCGTCGAGAAGGACAACGCATCCTCAGAGGTATTTCGTTAGTTTCCAAATTTTGAAAAAAATGTATAGACATTAAAATATTAAAATATGATCCATTGTTAAATCAATAAGAATAAAATTATTTTTCGCATTTATCGATTAGGTTCAGTCATAAGTAATTTCCATTCGGAGGAGAACAAAGGACGAATGTATCATCCTAATTACTTGGTACTTAAGAATTAATTTGGAGTAAAATAAAGTGTACGATGGATAAATTGTCGTCTAAATTACGCAAAATGAAAATAATACTAACATCTCATTTTAACTGATACATTTACGAATATTTACACAAACCATCTTGAAATACTAAAAAGTAAATTTATTCATTAAAATCGTCATTGCCTTCATCCACTGCCTCGACTTAGCATATCTCCTGCAACTCTTCTGGGTGGTCTCCTTGATTAAGTTGGGGAATGCTGCTATAATCCTTGCCTTCAGTTCATCATGTTACAAGACGTTTTGTTGGTCTCTCGCTAAACTGAGTCCCACACATAGTAATCAAGGGGCTTGCAGTCTGGAGAGTTAGATGGCCAGATATAAGGGGTAGTTGCAGAAATTCTCCGACAGTCATGACTGGGTTCTCCTTTTTGTGGCATGGTGCAGAGTCCTGTTGCCAGTCTTTCAGCAGTCTTTCAGCAGCCACCCTCTTGACCCAGGGCAGCACTACCTCCTCAAGGCACTTGATGTAGGACTCCGTGTTGAGTCTGAGGCCCTGTGTAAAAATGAATGGAGGCATAAAATCGCCATTACTAGAGATCACTCCAAACAATTTCGTAATCACCATTAGACTCATCCAACTCTTTCCAAATCCTTTTCACTGTCCTCAGATTGGCACCCACAATTTGAAATATTCGTATTGGATCTCCCGGCACTAATTATACCATATATCTATTTTATTAACTTTGCTGGTCACTGTGAAATGTTTTTCGTGTTAGGTATGACTACAAACTACATCCGACTGTATGGCCGCTGATCGGGAGATTGAAGGTTTAGAGGAACATAGAACCACCTCTGAATTGATGTTGTTCCCAGGTCCAACCTGACCCAGGGTGGTAGCACCTGTTAGGGTTTCAGCTGTGGACAAATAGTTAACCCCTAAACAAAAACAAAACAAATACAATATAAAAATGTATATTTATGGTAAAAATACTAACAATACAATTTTAAAGTGAAATGACTAACAATATATTTTATCTGTAGTTGAAGCCATAAAAATTGTGTTCAAAATATTTCAATAAAATTTCATTGTTAAATGACCCATAAAGAGTTGTTTGGTTTGGTTTGTTTTGTTTTACAGCATATCAACCTCATTGGGTTATTTAATGCCAAGATTTTTAGGATAGGTTCGTATGAATAGAATATGTATTCTTTGTAAGAAATCAATTTGCAGATCAGGTTTTATTGACGCATTTTTGAAAAGAGTGTTTCTGTCGCCAATCAAATGTATTGTTGGTAATATTTTTTCTCTAAAATGTACTGCTGGTATTTTTTACCATAAATATCTAGTTTTATATTTTCATAGTGTTTCGACCCCAATTCGGCGGTTAACTATTTGCCCACAGCTGAAACCCTAACAGGTTTTACCATCCTGGGTCAGGGCGGACCTGGGGACAACAGCAATGAAGAAGCGGTTCCACTCTCTTCAAAACCTCCCGATAAGAGGCTTTGCTGCCGGATGTAGTTTATCATCATACCCAGGAGGATAAAGATTTAAGGATAGGTTGATATGCCGTTAAACAAACAAATAACTCTATCAAGCAAACAAAATGTTTTTATTCGGAAAACTTTTTCTAATGAATACTGGATTCAGTAAAAATTGTTTTATATTAAAACCTGCGGAATTTTACTCGAAATGTATCGACTTCCTAATAAGTGGCAACAAGTCATTGTAAATAAGAGTGAATACAGAATTGAATAGAAATCAATTGTAATTAATTTACTGAAAAATAAAGTTGGTAAATAAAAACAGAAACTATTTGTCTGAACATAATAAATATCATTTGTTGATTTGAGGACTCAAAATAATTTAAAATATATATTAATATATTTCTTTACCTGTTTCGCCATTCACTCGATTAGTTAAGCCTGCTCAGTCAAGCGAGCGAGCTTCCCAAGCGTAGCAGAGGTCGTATTCATTCGAACTCAGTGGGATTTGGGATTCCTAATCGATTCTCAGCCGCGAGAATGCACACCTTTAGGATAATGCGATCTGGCTTCAATTCAGTTTATTTCTCCTAGACTGGTTGCCGCCCAAGGCTATAGGATCCAGTCTGTCCTATTTTTAACCCATAGCTAGGTGAAAAAGAGATAGATTTATACTAAGTACCTCCACTATTTCGGCATAAATTTTCTATATTGAAGTTTAAAATGAATTTTTTACAATGAAAAAACATTCTTGAAGATTTCATATTAGCTTTAATTGAAAGTTTAATAACTAAATTTACAATTTCTATTAATTAAACAATTCTGGTGTATTTCAGATAGAAACTATATACATTTGATTGTCAAATTTATTTTCTTAAAAACGGCCATTTTCTTAATTTTAAGAAATTTGTAAACAAACACAAATTTATCGATTTTGAAAATATTTTAAAAAAAATTCTGACACGTTATTTTAGTAAAATTAAAAAATTTAAAGTTAAAGTAATCTGATTTCAAAGAAATCTTTGTTATTTATAGCATAAAAAAATAATATACAACCAATTATTAACGAGCGGTCCCGTTCATCTGTTCGATCTTATTGATGATGGTTGATTGACGAGCCGATGACAGCTACTACTGATGATCATAAATGACATAATTTTTAAGTCTGAGTTTTTAAAAAAATTATTCTATTTGAGTATGACACACACAATACAATACATAAAATAAAATTATTTAGTGAAATAGTAAATGAAAAAAAGAAAAATAATTTAAAATTTAAAGTTTACACTTTGAACGGAAAACACAACTTATAAAACGAAATGTTTTGAAAAAGGCCACGTAAAGGACAAAACCCTTAGATCACGTGACCTGTTATAATAATGGCAATTTCTGTATATCATACATGGAAATAAGGAATGTATTTCAATTTTGGCAAAAAAGAACATAAAAAAAATTATTTTTAAAAAAAGTCCTGCAACTAAATTTTTGAAACTTAGAGCCGAATTTTTTTTAAAAAATAATATTGAAAACAGAGGTTTATAATGATGATCATAAATTAAAATTTAAAAAACGAAAAAATTTTGAAATCAGTTTTTCATCAGAAAATGAGTTTTAAAAAAAATTGATTTTTTTCTTTTAGAACAGAAATAGTTTTAATTCAAATATTTTTTTAATTCAGACAAGGGGAGGGTTAAAAAATCAAATTTGCAAAAAAAAATTTTTTTTTTTTTTTCTCCAAAAACAAAAAAAAATAAAATTGAGGAAATAATTAGGTTTTAATGGAAATTTCATAAAAAAAATTTTACTAAAATTTTCTAAAAAAAAAATTTTTTTTAAATTCATTTTACTGAATAAGTCCTGAAAATTTCATTTTTGTATTTGGATTTATTTTATTTTTTTTTTTTTTTTTTTGTTTTCAACGGTAAAAAACGCAAAAAAAAAATGTTATTTGAATTGTTTAAACAAAAAAAAAAATTGCTTTCGAACGTGAATAATTTAAAATTTTTTTTTTAAATTTTTCATTTACATTTTAAAAAGTAAACAACTTTTAATAATTTTTTTTCAACTCACTGTGCATCCAATTAAACATTTTAAATTTTTTTGTAAACAATGGAACATGTTGATTTTTTGAGTTCAAAATCGAGTTTTTTCATTTTAAAAGCAAAAAATTCTTTTGGTTCCCCAAAGTCCCCCCAATCTTAATTTTTACATTAGGGCAGAGAATATTTTCTAGCCGTTTAAAGCATCTACTGGGTGAATGAAAATTTATTTAAAAATGGCTTAAATTTGACTCAAAAAATTAATTTAA